GCCTTCTTTCCATCCTTTGGTTTCCCCTTTCCTTTTCCTTTACCTTTACCTTTATTAGGTTGGTCTTTTCCTTGGTAGAGGTTCACTCCCGGATTTTTAATCACTTCCATGTGAATTTTCAACATATTTTGTGCTTTGCTGACCGTCTTTGGATAATAATCCACTTCTCTGCAATAGTTTGTCTGAAGATCCAGCATCAGAGGAGCTGTTCTTGTTTGATTGCAGTTGCACAGAAATCCTGTTGCAAGAACGGCTTCAAAGATATCATCCTTGAACTTGTTTTGAGCAGCAGTATCGGTGCTAGCAATAGCAGCATACACTTTCGTCTTGACTGCAAAATTTCAGAACCAGGCTACACCATATAGATCTTGCAGGACTTCAGCCTGTCTCAAGAATCGTTCCTTGAAATGCATCAAGTTTTCGGTTGTTCCTTGCTTCATAGCAAAGAAGTTTTGATTCGCTTCCCAGAAATCCAAGAAATCATACTCAGCATCAGCACTCTTCTTTTTCTTGTTTTGGGCCATCTCTGTTTCTCTTGCAACAGCTTCAGTTTGAGTTGGAGCGTTCAATCTTGGAGCGATCGCATTGAAGTTGATTGACTTTCCATCTCAAATTGATTTCACCATGTCTTTGGAACATTTCTTTCCAGAAGCTTGGATATAGTCAATCACTCTTTCTTCGGCATCTCCGTACAACGATCTTGCCTTTCCATCGTTTTTATCTTTCGTTGAAAATAGATGTTTCACAACTGTTGAACTCGAGTTGCTCTTGAATTTCTGGGGAGTCACACGTCCTCTTCCACCACCGGATGAAGAACGTCCCATCGTCAACAAATCACTCACTCCTTTGTAGATAAGGCAGTGCTGTTCTTGACGTAAGTGTTGGAGGTATTGATATACTGAGCAATCATATTGGTCAATTATTGATCAATGGTCTATGTGACGTGATGCGGCAGTGACATGAGTGTCGATCATGCATGGTATGAAATGCAGTATGTCCAAACGAGTCGTCACGTAGAAAGGTGATCAAGAATGAGAATCGTGAGAATTTGTAATATGATCCTGAACTTCAATCGAGAGTCTCACTATCGATTGAGTTCTGGCAAGAATAATATTGTGGACATTGAGGTCCAGCAAGTATAGGAAATAATGAAGTAAGACCTTTGATTGAATAAGACTACTGCTTATTCCAGAGGCTGAGGCCTAGAGTCGCTGGTGCCCAAAGGCAGACCATAGCCAACGTAGATTTGATCTCAGGGACTGCACATTGAAACAGACAGGGCGTTGAGGCTCCCATTCAGGTCTATAGAGCAAGTCCATCTGACACTCAATCGATAGTGAGACTATTTATAAAAGGGACAATGACGCAACACAACCAAAGTACGAGAGGAGATCGTGGTGGCAATCGATTTGGTGGAAATCGCCAAACGAGTGGCAATTCACAGAATGCAAAAAAGAAAGAAAAACGATCGCCCATGTATCATCCAAGCGACCCAGATTTTCCTTATGCCGATGTAACACGGAGTCTCATCGAACAAATTGGAATGGAGGGATTGGAGTATCCTCAGATTATGATATCTTCCATCAAAGAATTGAATGAGCCAGACTGGGATGGTTTGAAACCCAAATTGGATTTAACTGGACAAGAAGACAAAATTGAGAGAGAGGCAAAGAAGGAAGAATTGAAAACGGAGAGTGTCAAATATCATCGACAAAAGCGATACTGGAGCAAAGCAAAGTGGCATGTGCATTTGCTGATTATGGAGTCATTTGTTACCAGTAAAATGAAGGACAAGATTCTACAGGAGGTCGATTACAATGAGAAAATTAAGGGTGATCCTATTGAATTATTGAGACGCATCAATAAATTTATAACGACCAGTGATGTGACAGACTGGGAACCCATTACATTGTGGGAAGCACTCCAGAAGTGGGTGAATTGTCGTCAGAAAGGAAATGAAACGGTGATTGAATACCATAAACGATTTGAAGAATGCGCAACTACAGTATTATCTTTCATGGGTGATTCGTGGCTAGAAGTGTTTACCGCAAAAACGACTGCATATCATGAAATTGAAAACAATCACCCGACTAATGGCTTGTCGGATAGAGAAAAGAAGCGAGTTGCAGCAGAAGTCGAAGAACTTCAAGCAGAATTTCAGGACAAGTTTGTAAAACTGTTCTGCGCTGCTGGATTATTGCACAACTGTGATCGTGCACGATACCAGCCGGTACTTGATCATTTTGTTACTGCATACGCTGTGGAGCACGTGGATTATGCTCAGCGAGATTTATTCCCAAGAGATGTGGAAACTGCAGCCAAGGCGCTACACAATCATTGGGTAAAGAAAACAACAACACCGAAACATAACAACAACAACAACAACAACAACACAAACGATAAAACAAACACACCACAGAACGGTACTAACCTTGCACAGGATTTCAATAAGGGGAGTAAGCGTAAGTGGTTTTGCTGTGGTAAGGCGGATCATGTTGCACCGCGATGTGAACATCGATTCCTACCCAAGGAACAATGGAAAGATCCAACAAAGTGGAGATCGTATCCCAGGACCAAAACGGGACGCGACCAGGTGCACCTACAGACAGGCACCGAGGAGGGATCTGTGCAGTCAAGTGTTACAGCTAACACCGCAGGTACACCCGCCAACAATGATGGCGGTATTTCTCAGCAGAACCACATGCAGACTGGTTCGGCTGACAGGAGTGGTGGACCACAACCTCAAAAGCAAAAGATTGGCATTCAGGGGTGGAATATGGCTCAGTTTGGCGGACGGAAGAGAGTACCGCAGCCTATTTTAAGACCTTCAAGATTTGGGACGTCACCACCACACGACATAATGGCAAACTGGCAGGTACAATTGGATGCTGTCAGGGCAGCCGAAGAGGAAGTCAGTGTTGCAAGTACACAGAGCTCCAACGTACAGGTTGGCAGGGAAGTAGCTGTGATGCATTCCCAAGCTCATCGGGGACTTAGGTACAAGGATAGCGGCGATCTGGTATATCTTGATTCAAATGATTATAAGGATGGTAAGATTCCGGAGCGAATGATCCGAAGTGGTTTCGTTCGGGCGCTACAGGTCCGTCCCTTGACACTGGTTCAACATTCCATCTCCGCAAAGATTTGATGAATGCGAAGATGGGAACATTAAAAGAACTTCCGTACATGTTCAATTATGGAACGAATGTCGGCGGAGGTAGGAATCTCACGCATGAAGTTGAGAGTAAACACATGGATAATATGTGCAAGTATGACGCTGATGCCATCTGTGATGTGGACAGTGCGTCTTTATTGGTAAAAGAAGGGTATCGTATCGTGATGGATACCAACGTAGAAAATGCATTTATTGTTTCCAAAGATGGGAATCAATGGATTTACAGAGAGAAGGATGGGTTGTATACTTATGATCCCCATGAGGGGGAGAGTCATTGCAATGTGTGCATGGAAATTGGACCGACTGGTGAAGCCTGCCCATCGTGCAGAGCCCACGGTGGTTTCGTGCCGGGTGAATCATATCATGGCAGCATCGATAATACAACTAGTCAACATACTTCCCGTTACTCTGGTCTCCAAACTGTAAAAAAGAACATAGATTGTTACACCTCACGACAAGTTGACCGCGCAAACGCTGCAAGATCCGGGTATCACATGGGTGGTGCACCAGGGATCGAAGCATTCAAAGTTGCTGTACGCTCAGGTTTATTCAAGAACTGTCCCATCAGA